GAGGGAATTCCCCAAATCTATCCATCGATTGGTGTTTGTCTTTGCCACATAATGTCCTGGAGTTCGATCGGAACAAGGACGCTATTAGGTAGAGGCCATCGCAAGTAGGTTGGAGGCCATCGCTACTAGTAGCTACAAGCTACTAAGTGGAGGCCATCGCTACTAGGGTGCAGTCCATTCCGATTTGGTTCCTTTTGCTAATAGTGACAAGAAGCTACTAGGGAGTTCGATCGGCCAAAAATCTCAGGAGATGAGATTCCCTCAGGGACTTCGATTCACGAGACTGCGCGGCCAAAGCTTCGCACAAACTTCGATTCACTTGGCTTTCTGAGATTCAGCGATTCCAACGCAAGACATCGCCACTACCGTTAGACCTGTTTGAAGACTTCGGGTTGCAAAAACATTAGCAATCAGTGAGATGAAACATGCAAACCCAAGCCTTCCAAACCTGATGCATGACTATAGTACATATATATATATTGTCATGCATATTTCTATATAACATGTATGTATGCACTCTTGCTACTTGTTCAAAAGAACCCCCCAGACACTTGCGAGTTTAGAGGATGACTACATTCCTTTGAGTGGAGCTCTGGGCTCCGACTATGTTTGATGCGTCCATCTTCCACGTTCCTTTCGTTTGTTTGATGTTTTGGGCGTGGTGGCGTTGGCAGCAACAAGACCCAGGGTCCACTTGCACTTAGCAACCCTTAAATTGAGGCGATTGCGTTCCTTAACGCAGTTCTGGGTGCTATGCTAGTTTGCTTGAAGATACCAAACTCAGAGGACCCTGGCCACAACGACCGACATTGTGAGATCACGACAGAAATTGGACGGAAGAATGAAGAATGCATTGTGCTAAACCTGAATCTCTCGAGCTTTGAGTTCGTTCCAGCAGGGCTCAGGCTGTAACCACCAGGTCAGGGAGTCAAACTGTTGGTATAAGTCACATCATGCAAAAGAAAATCTGCAGGTATGGGTTCCTTTTGTTCGGGTGATCTAGTCATAGGTATAGATCGATAGTACATGTTATATCTATATAGTGAGTAACAACCAAAAAGGTGTCTGAAATAGCTATAGTCTATGCTGATGTCCATCCTTTCTCAACTCCGCATGCCCAGTTGATTTCCACTTAGGCAGTTAGGCATCAGTAGCACCTCAAGGCCTACTCTCTCAAGGACTCAAGGCCTATACGCTCAAGAATTATCCAGCCCAAAAATAGATTTTGGAGGGTTCTGGAGTGTTGGTTGGCCATTCACTCCTTGGAACCTGTGGTATTTGCAGGCTGCTTTCCAGTCTTGGCACATCGAATGCAGAGTTCAATTGGAATTTGGTGCTAGGAATACGTGAGACTAAAACTCAGGACAACAAAATGTCGAGCACTTTCGAGCAGACTTCGCAGAAAACCCTCACTTTGCGTTGGTTTTCATGGGGACACGACTCAACCAACTCCGATACTTTTGTCAGAGTCTTGGAGCTCAGGCTGTAGGCACAAACTACCTAAAAGGCCAACCCCAAGACCACCGGTGATTCCGTTATTCACGGATCTCTTTGATGAGTGTGACTCTCCATGCTCTCCCTGACCCAAGGGTCATCTGAGTCCAAGGGCCGCACACGAAGAATTGCCATGAACTTGCCAGTCATACAGTTGGCGAACAAAAAAAAAAATCAAAAAGAAAAAAGCCTCCAATCTACTAGCAATGGCCTCCTCCAACCTAGTAGCAATGGCCTCCAACCTAATTGCGATTGCCAGTCATGCAGTTGGGGGTGGAAGAACGCTTACAGTAAATGGTGTAGTGTAGATGTTCTCACCCCGCGGGTGCTGGCTGGCGCTCCCTTAGCTGCTATGAAATATTCAGAACCTCTGCTGCACATCCAGCAGTGAATTCTCCCAATCAAAGACGGGCAAGCTGTTTAATGAGTTCATTGTCCACCTCCATGGTTACACATTGCTCAAAATGGGGCCGGACTGTAGCTGGAAGGGGGGCCCATAACGGAAGTAGTTGCAGTTCAAAGTGCAATGGAAACGAGAACTGGCACTCAGCTGACAAATGACTGTCCATCATTCCTATGGCAACTCTTCTGCGCTAGCAGCAAACACAGTTTGCTGCAGTTCAATTATCACACTCGGCCAGTATGTCCACTTGGGGATTCTGCCAATTTTATGGATGTACCTGATCGGTCCAGGTTGTACGGGAGAAAGCATTCGCCCTACTTGAGAAAGGACAAAACTCGTCCAGCTTCGATCCTCTTGCAGCATTCCCATCAGCCTCTTATGCCACTCAAGCCTGGGTTTGGAAAGCCCCATGTTTGGATGTTCTATGTGTTCATTGAGTGTCAAGCCGTTGGGAGCTTAATCTGACTACAGTAAGTTCCGAAGCAAAAAAGGAAAGCAGCAGCAATGATCCCCACCGCTGGGCTACTCGACTGCCCAACGACCGGGCCTCCCGGTGTTGGACATCCTCTGCATGGGCAGCGGATGGACCTTCAAAGAGAGCAACCCTAATGGATGTTCATCGATGTTCCAGCTTTGGAATTTGGGAGGCCATTGAAACAAAGGCTACTAGTAACAAGAAGCTACTAGTAACAAAGGGCATCGCTACTAGTAACAAGAATCTACTAGTATCTCCTGGCATCGCTACTAGTAACAAGGATGCTACTAGTAGCTCCGGGCCTTACTACTGGGCGTCCTCCATTGAAACCATCTTTCTCCAAGCCTTCCGACCATGGACCGAACTGACCCAATAGCTCTCGAGCCTTATACCCACCCCCCTTCGTCGGCTCGGAAGACTTTTCAAAACATGACCGACCCTCAGGCATGCACCCCTTGGTGTTGAACAACCTCACAATCTGTGGGTTGAATATGCAGCCCAACTTGGTTCCATGAGCTAGGGCGGCCAATACTACTTCCTGACTAAAAGCGGCAGCACTGGACTGTTGTCTACTGCAAGTAGGGTGGGTTTCCCTCCTCCGCCAACCCCCGATGTTTTTACTCGAGATCCTTCAGCTTGACAATGGTGTTGTTGTTTCGGGTGAAGCGGTTAATTTGGGAGTCAGTGTCCAAAATTGTGAGGTGTTCTTCGATTTTGTCTCGAGTCTGGATTGTTTGAACGTGTGCATGGTATTGCACAACACTGCCAAGTGCAGATTGAGATGCAAGCGGCATGTGAAGCGAGTTACAAGTAAATGACGGAGGATTTTCAATGCACATACTGCAGTACATGGACATGAACAACAAAAATCGACATACTGACATACATATATGACATACACCCACACAAATCCATGATCCGACCAACACGTCCCCAGAACGGCACGTTCCAAGCCTAGAACATGTGGAGAGTGAGGAGACTGAGTTAGAATCACAGCCTCCCAGGTCAATCCGAAGTCGAGCACCATCTCGGCTCGCTCCCTCTCAGCTCAACATTGGCCACTCGTGCCTACTAGTGATGGGCGGATGGTTTGAAAGGTAAAGGGTGCCGGCCCAAGCGCCTTTTATCTTACATATATACAAATATGTATCAGATGTGTGTGGGATCTCCTGAAAAGCGCACGCATCTGATCAGATCTTCCAACATGAGTCTGTCTCACAAAAAAAGAATCAAGGGGTCACTGAACGGGTTTCAGAGATCTGCTTTGGATGAAACGCACACACCTAAAAATGTGTTCAACCCACAGTGACATCAGGGTTCACAGATCTTTTGCCATTCTGTTTGCACCAATCTTCTCCCTTTGCGTCAGAGAAGGCGTGAATTTGTTCGATGATTTGTATTATATATTTCTTTCCCAGGAAAAGAATAAGCTCGCATTGCGAGATAGTTTCGGTGATCACAATGGTGGTTCCGACATGAACAAAGAGCACTCACAACCTCCAAACTCCATCGGGAAGAGTGGATACCAAAGTGGATTGAAGATCAATGAACGCGATGGTCTCTTGACTACCAACCATCAAGAGCCTACTCTTCTAATAGTCATCTGCATGTTCTGGTTGAGGGCCACCCTGGATAGTAAAACCCTGCATGTCTCCGACTCAGAACCCATGAAAACCCTTGGTCAGGTCAGGGTCCATCTCGGCTCATGCACCCACATGTTGAACAAGTCAAACACCCTTGCAAAACGAGGCCGGCGGTTACGGTTTACCCCTCAGCCAGGTCTCTTCAGGCCTCTTCATCTAGCTGTTCGGCGTCAACCGATAAATAACCTGGCTGTTGTCTTGAGCCTCTTGGTCTTCCCTCCGTGCACCAAAGAAACATGCAACTTCATTTTCGCCATGCAGAGCCTTTGGGGGAAACCAAAACTGTCTTGGCGTATATCTTTTGGCAATATAACCACGAAAAGGATGAAAAGGATGCTCTTCTGAGTTTCGACGAGGCTTCTGCTTTTTTCAACTCGCAAGGATGTTTGGCACATGGTCCAAAGAGTGAGCTTTCCAATCAACCAACATCTCCGTGGCCCGAAAACTGTCGGCTCCAAAATTGCAGCTTTGTGGGGATGTGCCGCAACTATTGGACCGTGACCTGGCAACCCCTCCAGCTGAGGCATGTGCTGACATCACCCGCGTCGCTGGTCCTTAACAGGAGAAGAATCCATGTGTCAAAGGATATGCTGAGCCTTGTGAACAAGAGTTACGTGCTCAATCCACCCCAAGCTTCTCCATGCGTTCAAAGGGGTATGCGTTGACGACAGCCTATGCCTCATGTTCTCAGACGTCTGAGAGGACGAATCTGCTAAACCCTAGTCATGGCCTCTGAACAAGCCTACCCAGCCAGCCACCTTGTGCATGATGGCGGTATTGCCATGTGGTTATTGGTCAAAACCAGGCAAACCCTAGTTGAAAATCAAAAATGAACATAATTGTCTTTGGAGGTGCAACTCGGAATTATTTCTCGTTTTGATCCGCCATATGTCCACTGTGGATCCTGTGTGGATCGCTGTCGCCACATCTTGTCTCAGGACTCCACGTGGTTCGAGACTCCGCCGTGGACCGGATGGAGAAGCCTTCAATGGTTCGCCTGTGGAGATCGAACCCCTTCGGACCTCACAGGAGATTTAGTTGACCCAAACTGAGAGAGCTGCTCAAAAGCCCCAACACCTATATGATTCAGACCAGAATTTCTCTTTTCACAGTATGAACACCTGTCACCGTGGTGCCTCCGAAGGTGGAACTGAAGAGTTACCAAGTGATCTGGGCTATGCAGTGAGGTTGATCGACTTAGTGTCACTTCTTGAAGGAACCTGCTGTACAAAGCATAAATAGTACAAATTGGACATGAAAAAAATAGAGTCATAAAGTAGTAGCAGTAGTAGTAGCAGCAGCAGCAGCAGTAGTAGTAGCAGCAGTAGTAGCAGCAGCAGTAGGAGCAGGAGCAGGAGCAGGAGGAGCAGGAGGAGCAGGAGCAGTAGGAGTAGTAGGAGTAGTAGTAGTAGGAGTAGTGGGAGTAGTAGGAGTAGTAGGAGTAGTAGGAGTAGTAGGAGTAGTAGGAGGGGTAGGAGCGGTAGGAGCCGTAGGAGCGGTAGGAGGGGCAGGAGGGGTAGGAGCGGTAGGAGCGGTAGGAGTGGTAGGAGTGGTAGGAGTGGTAGGAGTGGTAGGAGTGG